TTCACCCTCATTTTTTTTTTACCCCCCCCCCCCCCCCCCCAAATCAACGCTTCTAGTTAAATGATGGCATGAATAGAAGTTAAAGATCTTTGGGTGGGGATCTTTTGTCTTATTGATTTGAATAACAAAAGAACAGATTTTTGGATCTTCTGATTGTGTTTATTATTTTAATTTTTGGCTGGGGTGTGCATTACTCCATTATAGTTGCTGAAGCTGGTATTCATCTATTGTAGAAGCTGATCAGTTAAATTTATATCGAATTGATTATTGTTTTCTTGATGTTAATAATATCCTTTTCTTCTGCATTTTTCCCATCCTTTGTTTGTGGTCAGGTCTGCAACTATCCTTTCACAACTAGAGGAATTCTAATGGGCCACATTGCTCTAAATTTCCAGCACTTTCAGGTTAATCATTTTATTCTCGTACTTTTGTGAGATGTAAAAAGATTTTAGTATGTAATCACTCATCGTCTTACAATTTGTTAATGTACTGAAATTAATTGCAGGTGACAGACACCCCTGGGCTACTGAAGAGATGTGATGGTATGATATCAAAGCAATAACTTTTTTCCTGCTTGGGAGTTCAAGCATTGAATATAATTCTTGTACTAGTGTTAACCTACACAATCATCTCTCATGTTGATTGCGACACACTCTGCAGCCTGCTTATTTATAGCTGCAGTTTCAGTATTACAGTCTCATTATATAATGGCTCAGTTTTTTTGTATTAGCATTCTATATCTGCCTGATTTGTATATTTTCACAACTTATTGAACCTGCAGAGGACAGGAACAATTTGGAAAAATTGACACTTGCTGTCCTCTCACATTTGCCAACAGCAGTACTTTATGTACATGATCTCACTGGAGAATGTGGGACCTCGCCTTCTGATCAGGTATCAAATGATATGATGCAGACTTATAATTTGTATTGTTTTCTGCCCATGCAGCGAGCTATATTCAGGACATTGCCCTCCTAAATTCAGAACATGCTCTCTTTTACCAACTTTATGTCACTAACTGATGTGATCATTTGAGTAGTGTTTTATTAATCATTCCATTTAATGATCAGTGAGCACCATGATTTGAAAACTTCCATATATAATGAGGTAGTATCACCGGCATGCCCCCCCC